TTTAACTCTCTATGTATATATATATTAAAATTATTAAATTTTTAATGGGAGAGATTAAAATCGTACAATTATGATATTTGAGCGACTAAAATTACCCAATTAAAACTTTGGGGATCGAAATTGTCCAATTACAATACTTGAGGGATCAAAAATGCAATTAATCCAAATAAAAATGATGATTTAAATTTTAGGAAGATAAAAATTGAAGAAAAATATTTTTTAGAAGTCAAAACCAAAATTTATTTATTTTAACTAAATATTTTATAAAGACAAAAATAATATTTACAGATTTAAAAGGATAAAAGATTACAAAATTTAAAATCAAAATTCATTTCTTTTATATAAGCAAAAAGTATATTTAAATCTCTTGGACGCATATTCAATTGATTTTAAATATAACTTGCCGTTTTACCAAATTTCAAAAATAAATTAATCGAAACACCAAATTCTAGGCACTTTGGATATACTCCCTCTGTTTTTGTTTAAGGTTTTGTACGAGACTTAAGGAAATCATTAATATTTTAGTTTTCAAAAATATTTATTACTTACTTTCTTATTTTATCCTCTTTTTTTTTGTATTTTTTAGACTGTTGAACTGCAATCTATTCCATTAATTATTAATACATTGATTACACGTGAACTGTAACCTACTGTATTTAATTATACCTGTCCTTTTTTTTGTTTTTTTATACTATTTTGTTGGGAACATATTGCTCTTATAAATGCACATTAACTTTTTATGGATAGTTAGAGAAAAAATAGGTAGACATTAAAAATAAATACACACATTATTCAATAAACATGTATTAATTATCAAGGATAAAAATGGAGAAAAAAATTAATAAATTATTGATTTTAGTAAAATAAAAATGAAAAAAATAACAAATTCTACTATAAAAAAAATGGAGGGAGTAAATTTCTAGCAAATGAAAACTGGGCACGTACACGCATGTTGCCACACGCCAAACCTAGTTTTTTTGTTTTTAATTATACTCACGATTTTTATAAATATATAAATTATAAAATTATCTATTTATTTTTAAGATTTAATTTAGTCTAAAAAAATTTAAAAATTTAATTTTATCTTATAATTTTTAAAATATATATAATATTATTTTTTTATCCAAATTGATATTAAAAATATTAAAAAAAAAAATTAACATTGAACGTTTTAAAAAATATAGAATTAAATTGAGTATTTTAAAAATAATAGAATTAGATTAAATAAAAAATATCTAACAATTTTGTCCAGATGAATGAAATTTTTTTTTACTTATCTTAATAAGATAATGAATGATAATAAATTGAATATTTAGAATTAAAAAAATTATCATAAAGTGAAAGATTTATTTATTAATATAAATTATTAAATAGATGAAAGAGAAATCAAATTTGTCTAGATAAAAAGTGTTTGATCAATTTTTATTTAATTTAGTTTTTCTATTTATAAAATATTTAATTTAGTCTTATTATTTTTAAATAATTTAATTTAATCAATTTAGACAGAAAAATAACATTGAATATTTTTAAAAAAATTAAAAGATTAAATTAAATCATTTAAAAATAGTAAGACTAAATTAAATTTTAAAAATAAATAATGAATAAAAATTTGATTTAATTTTATAAATACAAATTAGAAAAAATTAATAAAATTTTATTAAAAAATACTCTTTATTTTGATAAAAAAAATCATTAAATTTTTTTATAAATTTATATCTAAACATGAAGATGAATTTTTAGTAAGTATAATAATAACTCACTAATCAAATCAGTATATTATATTTTTTGAGAGTAAAATAATATCTTTAATTATAATTTAATATCCAAAATAAATATCAAACTCTAATTATTGTTTAATACATGTGTAAAACTATTTCTTGTTGACCATTTTCTTTCTTATTATATTTAGAATCTATAATGTCATGGAATCTAATTAGTCCATTAGCTGCCCTACATAGTGTTCCTGTTGCTTCGGGAACTTACTGGGAGAAAGTTCTACATAAAATTAACAATTTTTATATTCTTAAAAAATAATATAAAAGAAGCAATTCAGTACGATGATATTATAATTATTATTACTATAATATTATAGATACCTACTTAATACCTGTCACGTGAACACCTGTCCAATGGGACCAGCCTGTGAGGACACTTGTCGACAAATTCGTGCTAAAGTGACATTGTTCTTCCCTTTTTATGATGTTAAAGACTGATATTTTCTTGGGTTACTATTATAATATTTTGAAAAGTTACTCCACTTATTTTATTGCGACCATTTTCTTCTTCTAAGTCGATCATGTTTTTAAGATTTTTCTAATACAATAGTGACAACAAAATTTAAATATGGTAAATTTAGGTCTCTCAACTTTTGTTTTTAAGAGTTTTTTTTTTTAATATACGGCAATGTTTCTAAGATTTATTAAATTAAATAATAAAAAAACTAACTCTACCCGCCTCCAACTATTTAACTCTCTATGTTTTGAGAAGTAAAGTTGTAAATTGGAATAAGTCTAATCTATTATATATATATATATATATAAAGATTTATTTATTTTAGAAATAAATTTACTTAAATTTCTTCTGTTAAATAATTAATGTTTTATATTAAATTTTAATAATTCAATCGTTAAATTTAAAGTTCTTAATATATAAATTAAATCTGTAAATTTTAAAAAAAATTAAAATTTATTTTATACTTAATTTTATTAATTTAAATTAATGTATAAAATAATTTTATGATTATCCGTTGATTTGAAATAATAAAATGAAGTATCAAATAATTTTCAAATTTTTTAAAATTTGTAAATTTAATCTATACATTAAGAACTTTAATTTCAACAGTTGAATCGTCAAAATTTGATGTAGAATATGAGTTATTGAATAGATTAAACTTAAATAAACTTACCATTGAAGTAAACAAATCCCTTTTCTTTCCATATATATAATTAGATTATGTTGGTGTAATTTATATCAATTAAAACTTTATTTCATACTAGTTTTTGGTGAGTTATGGTCAATTTTTTTAATTTTAATATTATTGGAGATTGTGAGCACACACAAAATAAATATTCTCTTTTTAAGATTATTTATTTTATATTTAAGGTTAAGATTCAAATTTTGAACATCATATTTAAAAGATATAAGTCGTTATTATTTGTGTCAACTAATATTGATGCTTATTTCTAAATAGTAAATCAACTTGTGCAATATTCAATATTTAAAATTATTTTTTTAAACAAAATAATTATTTTATAATATAATTAGTATCAAAAAGATATTTTGTACCTTCATAACTTTTTAAAATATAAAATAAAAAAGTGACTTATTAACAATTTAAAAAATAAAAATAAATTAAAGGTGATTTGTTAAAGATATAGACGATTTTTAAGTAGTTGTAATTATAATTATAAAAGTAGTTTGAACAACTTTAAAAACTAGAATAAAAAAATGATGAAAAAATAAATAATTTAAGAGATAATTATGTAAATAAAATTATTCAAATAATGTAGATGTGAATTAGGATTATCCCCCTCATTATTTGTATAGTTAAACTAATATTTTTTTTTCAAATCTCACATATATTTTTATTAAAAATAACCTCATTTGAAATATTATTTAATATTAATTGTACATATTTTTCCAATGAGAATTCAAACCTATTTTATTTAAGGCTTATATTTTTGTTCAGTGTGTATAAATATTTTATAACTTGTTTTTAATCTATGTAATTCTTTTTTATTTTTATATATTTATTTTTTCATTTTATCCATTTTTTTTTGTATTTTTAATCCTTATAATGTAATGACGTGACACTATTATACACTATTATTAATTTGATTTATTGGGATACCATTATATTATGCTAATATGGCACAAATGATATGATATTTTACATTAACATATATGATAACATAACAAATTAATGTTTTTATAATGATATTTGACAATAAAATTTTAAAATGAAAAATTCGCACTTTGCAGAGATGATTTTAAAAAAAATATTACAGAAAAAATAAAAAATGCTAAATTATAAAGATAAAAATAATAAGATTTAATTACACTTTTGGTCCTCCTAATTTAGTGTAGAAGCAATTTTAGTCTTCATAATTTGCATTGTTTAATTTTGGTCCATAAATTCAAATAATAGGCAATTTTAGTCCCATAAATAATTTACCATCCAAAATTTAACAGACGTTAATAATGTGAATTTTATGTTAAATAAACATTAATTATATATCATTTAATTTCTTACGTGTCAAATTATTTAATATTCAAATTTTAAATTCAATACCCTTTTCATTTTGTTTTCAATGTTATTTGAATTTAAAATTTGAATATTAAATAATTTGACACGTAAGAAATTAAATAATATATAATTAACATTTATTTAATATAAAATTCATATCATTAGCGTCTGTTAAATTTTGGATGGTAAATTGTTTGCGAGACCAAAATTGTCTATTATTTAAATTTATGGACCAAAATTAAGCAATTCAAATTATAAAGACCAAAATTACTCTTGCACTAAATTAAAAAGAATAAAAGTGCAATTAGGCCAAATAATATTTATGAGACGAAATAATAATAGTAATAATCATACATAATAATAATTATTATTATTATGATTATTATTATTAAAAAATAATAATAATAAAAAAGAGTTCACATCCCACGGTCTCACACTACGGTGACCATTTCAATCAAAATTGCATGATTTGCATTGCATCTTTGTCTTGAACTGGTCATTCCTCAAAACATGCGAACTGAAATCTCACCTCCCTAACCCCCTCCCTCTCCGTGACCCGACATTTTACTTCTCTTCTTCTTCCTCACTACACTTGTAATACTCAAAATTTAAGAAGAAAAAATAATAACAATAATAAATCAAACAAATGTAAGGGGAAAAAAAGAAAAACTTTTAACTTTTGTTCGACGAAGGTAAAAGGAGAAGATCAACAAAGGCTCCTCCTTATCTTTCAATGTTATGGAACCATCCCTTTAAAACAAATGTCCCTTCACACCAAGGAAATTTGGAATGTTGTTTCCCTGTACATATTATTTTCACTTCTATTTAGTTATGATTTATAAACTTTATTTTTTTCAAGTCTCTATAACAATAAATAATAAAAGTTAAAAAAAGTAATGTATATAAACTAAAATAAAATATTATTTTATGAGAAATTATAACCTACAAAACTTATATTTATACACAAGGCATGATTCGAACCTCTGACCTTATTTTTTGTATTCTGAACACCTATAATATTAATAAAAGAATATATAGTTTTTGGTGTTCATATTTTTATATCATTTTATATCTTTACTAATTTATTTAATTATTTTTATTCACTTAACTAATTTATTTAATTATTCATTATGTTATAAAAATTGGCCGATAAAATATTATTTTAATTCCATAAATCGCAAAAGATGGTAATTGCAGTTTACACAACCTAGTACACGCACTTTACATTTCATCTCTCTCTCTCTCTCTCACTTTCTCTGTTTACTAGCACAATGGCTTCGCTTCTTTTTCTTTTCACAATTATAAATTCTTATTGCCAAGCCTTTTTGTCCCCTCTTCTTTAGTCATTAGAGGAGGTTTATGGAATTCTTTTGGCATGAGTTGATGGGAAGTATGACGAGGACAGAGTGAGACTCGGGCAAGGATTTCTCTTTCTGAAATGTTGAGCTTTTTCTCTACATAATCATGAATTAGGATTTCTATATATAATTTTATGATTTTTTTTTTCTTGATTTCTACTTTGTTTTAGTTATAGGTTCAGATTTCATGAGTGACTAGTGAAGTAATTATGTGACGCTTTGCCTATGGTGGTGTTGTGCTACGTTGTCGTCGTCGATGCTTAGGTTTTGACTATAAAAAAATATTTTGTTGCAAGTTTCATTGCTGTCTTGCCTTGTTTTTAATTTATACCATGCTTAATCTGTTGAGTTTATTACATTGTGCACTTATGCAATGTGTCATTTTTGCTTTTCAGGTAATGGTTGGTTGTTGGTGAAAATGAATTTTGTGGCGTTAGAGTTTGTGTAGCAAGTGTTGGAAGTTGGTGAAGCAATGGACTTGGTGGTACCCATACACAGTTTTGTTCTTATAAACATTTCCACTGTGAAAGCTATAACACTGGTTCTGCATTCAATTTGGTGAGAGTATATAATATGGCCTGCAAAACCCGCTTATTTGGTCTGTCTAATGATATTGGGGTTATTGAGTTTAGAAAACCCAAGGGTCTTTGGTCTAGAAAGCATTTGGGCAATTGCATGTTTGCTGTTTCAATATATGAAAATTCTGGTTTGAAAGGTAATCTGCAACATTTTGAAAGATTCCCGAAAGGAGCATTAAATAGGGTGGAATCCTTGCCAAATGGGGTCAATGCTTCCCTGAATTCTGAGGAGTCTGAGATTCACCATCTCCGCCAGTTGATTAAAAATGGGGAATTGGAGGAAGGTTTTAATTTTCTTGAGTATATGACAAACAAAGGCAATATCCCTGATGTCATTTCTTGCACTGCTTTAATCCGTGAGTTTTGCAAGATTGGCAGGACTAAGAATGCTACTCAAATCATGGGAATTCTGGAAGAGTCTGGAGCTGTTATTGATGTAACCAGTTACAATGTTTTGATTAGTGGTTATTGCAAATCAGGTGAGATAGAGGAAGCCTTGTGGGTTTTGGATCACATGACTGTTGCTCCAAATGCTGCTACATATGATATAGTTTTGTGTAGTTTGTGTGATACAGGGAAATTGAAGCAAGCCATGGAAGTATTTGACAGACAGCTGCAAAGCAAGTGTTACCCAGATGTGGTTACTTGCACTGTATTGATTGATGCAGCTTGTAAAGAAAGTGGAGTTGCTCAGGCAATGAAGTTGTTCAATGAGATGAGGAGAAAAGGATGCAAACCTGATGTGGTTACATATAATGTTCTTATAAAAGGGATTTGCAATGAAGGTAGATTGGATGAAGCAATTAGATTTCTAAAGAAATTGCCATCCTATGGTTGTCCGCCTGATGTGATTTCCCATAACATTATCTTGCGTAGCTTGTGTAGCAGTGGAAGATGGATGGATGCTATGAAGCTATTGGCTAGCATGCTTCGTAAGGGGTGTGCTCCCAGTGTTGTTACTTTCAACATCTTGATCAATTTCTTGTGCCAGAAAGGCTTGCTAGGTAAAGCCCTTAATGTCTTGGAGATGATGTCAAATCATGGTCTTACTCCTAATTCCAGGAGTTACAATCCATTGATTCAAGGCTTTTGTAGCGAAAGAGGTATTAATAAAGCAATTGAATACTTGGAAAGAATGGTATCTAGGGGTTATTACCCCGATATAGTGACCTATAATATTCTGCTAACTGCATTATGTAAAGATGGAAAGGTGGATGATGCAGTTGAGATTCTGAACCAACTAAATTCCAAGGGGTTCTCTCCTGTTCTAATTACTTATAATACAGTGATTGATGGGCTTTTGAAGGCTGAAGAAATAGAGCGAGCTGTGGAACTATTTGAAGAGATGTGCAGAAAAGGTCTTGAACCAGATATAATTACTTACAATATAATAATTGATGGGCTTTTAAAGGTGGGGAAAACCAAGCTTGCTGTAGAGCTCTTGGAAGAGATGTGCAATAAGGGTCTTAAGCCTGATCTAATTACATGCACTTCTGTAGCAGGGGGCCTATGTCGTGAAGGAAAGGTTCATGAAGCAATAGAATTTTTCCATTACATGAAAGTGTTTGGTATTAGACCCAATGCATTCATTTATAACTCAATAATGATGGGACTGTGTAAAACTCAACAAACCAGTCGTGCCATTGATTTTCTTGCTTATATGGTTAAAGAAGGATGTAAACCTACTGTGGCTACCTATACTATTCTTGTAAAAGGCATTATTTATGAAGGATTAGCTGAGGAAGCTTTCAAGTTGTTGAATGAATTGTACTCCAGAGGACTTGTGAAGAAAAATTTGGTTGAGGAAGTCAGTCAAGAAGTAAAATTAAACTGCAACAACAGCAGCCAAATCTAACCTCGTTAGGTTGGGTCGGATACTTGGCTATATGGTTTGGTTGATCCCTGTTCGATTATATCAAGAACCAAATTTCCAATAAAACCAGTATAGTGTGATATTTCTATAATGCATTTTTGCATTGTACTATTAAATATGCACTTAGATTTTGTTGCCCCGCCATTTTAGTGGCCACTAGTCATTTGGTTTAGATTATAGATTTTCAATTTTGAGGGAGAGCAGATGAAGTTTATGTCAATTTTGTAAGTAGGAAACTGTAATTTTATCCCAACATATTTAATTCTGAAGTATATTTCATTCTACTTGAGCTTCAATATTGCTCTATTCATGTTGTTCAACCATTTTTAGCTTCCAGTGAATAGGTTTTAAATCTAATCACATATTACTGGACGATAATTCCTTTACTGCAAGTTATGTTTTGATTCATTTGTATTAAAATTTCATTATCCATATCTTTTGGTCTAGAGCAAGCAAAGTGATATAGCTGCCAACATGATAAATGAAAATATCTCAAAGGAGTATTCCAACTTTTTTTTTTTTTCGCATAAATTGAAACTCAACATTCTTCTTTCAATAATTTATTATCTTATTAATTGCATGCAATTAATTGAATTTGAAACATACATTTAACTTATGCTCATTAACATCCTTTGCGTGTCAATGTTTCCAATATGCATTTAACATTCTCACATCCATTCACATTATACATTTTTGTTCACGTTCCCAAATTTCTTGCCTCTTGCCTTTTTCTCCTTCCAATCAAATTATATATATTTTTCAACCATAAACAAAATAAAGTTATCTTCGTATAACCCCTTCTTCATTTTCTCTAAAATTATATTTATTACTTTAAATTTTCATATCTATTTCATTATATATATATATATATATATA